GCCAAGGCAGGGGGTTGGAGTAGATGATCCTTAAGGCTCCTCCTGTGACTGTCCCCTCCCAAACTCCATGTGTCTCTCTGCAGCATTTTCTCTCTCATTCCACTGGGATGTTTCCATTTCCAGCAGGTTTGTTCTCATCCCTTCCTTGCCCTCTGCCCCATCCCCACCACCCCAGCAGTGCTCCTGCCTCTGGACAGGATCCAGGTGCATGGAAAACTTGGCATGAGACAGCACACCCTCTTGTCTTGGGCATGGCCCCTCGTCCTCCTGGCTCCACCAGCTCCCAAACCAAGTTTGTCATGTTCTCATCACAAATCCCACTTTTCTCCAGCCTTGCTCCAGACTGCACCATTCTCTTCCCTTGAAGCATCCAGCTGTGGGGCTGCTGTGGTCATCCCTGCTGGAATTGTCCTGGGAATGATGTCTGCTCCTTCCCTTACTCTTGCTCCTCTCTAAGTTCCTTCCCCACTCGGATCCTGATTGCTTTCCCTTCCCTTAGACTCTTCCATTCTGTTCTCCTTGGCTTGGGAAAGCTCCAGTTGGGAAAGAGCCCAGTTTTCCATCTCTCTGCCTCCATCTTCACCTCCCAGCCCTAATGAATGAGTTTTTTCCTTCCTTCTCCTAATGCTCTTTTCTCCAGCTTGGCTGCACGGGACTCATCAGATCCAATTAGTTCTAATCCAATCTGGTGACTGGGGGATGAGGGATAACCTCCTTTGGAGCCAGTCCCTCTTTCCAAGTTGACTTTGCAGGTCCTTGAACAGCCAGCTCCAGCTGCAGTGCTCAGGGATGCCCTGCAGTTAAATCCCCTAAATCAGGGGAGATTTCTCCAGCACAGTCCATGAAGTCTGGAGAGTGGCTCAGCAACGTTTGGGTGGTGTCATCTACCAGCTAATGCTCGCTGGACTCCTGAGATTCCTCTATTTTACAAAAATTCCCTCCCAATATGAAGTGAAATAACTCCTTGGATGGATGTACTGTTCTAGGCCAAGTTTAAGAGGTGTGGGCTTGGCCATTGCCAGTGTCAGGCATTTAAAACCATCTCTCAGTCTTCAAAACTCTTGATCAAAAGGCAGAAAAAAACAGGGATTTTTAAAAAATTCCCATGGTTTTAGAATTGGTGTCTTGGTAGACACGAGGTCAGAACTCGTGAGGTGAGACAAGAAGAAGAAAAGGAACCAGAAATGTTGGTCTCTGACAGCATCTGATGGTTCTGCTTCAAAGTGATGTCAAAAATGTTCTGCTGAGGGAATGTTGTTGATGCTGACACAAAACTGGGAGCTAAAGAAGAGGCAGGAATTCTTGGCACTCGAGGAGGAGGAGGGAGGGAGGAAGGGCAGAGGCACAGCAGAGCCCTGGCTGAGGTTTCTCTCCCACTGGCCATGTTTGATCCCGGATTTGTGTTTAGGGATCTTAGGAACTATTGGTGTCACGTATCCCTGTGTCCAGCCGTGTGTCCCTGTGTCCAGCCGTGTGTCCCACGTGTCCCTGTGTCCAGCTCCCCCTGGCTCCCTCAGCCACATCAGGGGAGTGCTCTGGAGGAGGAAGCCTCAGCAAACCAGGCAGTTGCAAAAAGCTGGATTTGATCTGGTCACAGTGCAGGAATTTGCATTACTCCCCGTCCCTGGCAGTGCCCCAGGCCAGGTTGGACACTGGAGCACCCTGGAACAGTGGCAGGTGTCCCTGCCATGGATGTTCTTTAAGGTCCCTTCCCACCCAAACCATTCTGGAATTCTGTCAGACTCTGGAGCAGGCTGCCCAGAGAAGCTGAGCTGCAAAGGGAGCCATAGGATAGGAGCAAGCAGCTTCAGGCTGTGCCAGGGAAGGTTTAGGCTGGATTTCAGCAAGAATTCCTTCACCAAAGGGATTTCAGCAAGAATTCCTTCACCAAAGGGATTTCAGCAAGAATTCCTTCACCAAAGGTTGTCAAGCACAGCTGCCCAGGGTGGCATCCCCATCCCTGGGGGGATTTCACAGCCCGTGGATGTGGCACTTGGGGACAGGGTCAGTGGTGGCCCTGGCTGTGTTTGGGATGGCTGGACTCGATCTTGGAGGGCATTTCCAGCCTCGGTGATTCTGCGGTTGTGCCAGGTGGGGTGGGGTGAATCCCCCTGGTTCTGCTCCATGTTTCCATCCCCAGAGCTGCAGACCCTGCTCAGTGACTGGGTGATGGTCACAACAATAAACCTGGGCTTGGTCTTTAATGATGAATTTGCCTCAACAGCGTCCTTTGGCCAATCCCGAGTAATTAAACTCATTAACATCACCTTGATGAGCCTTTGGCTTTGGTGGCCTGAGGTTGAGCAGTTCCTGCCCTGTTTACCCTCATCCCACCTCATGGCCCATCGGAAGGAGTTCACAGATCAGCTACAGCAATCTCCAAACTGTAGAAAACAAACCCTCATTAGTTTTCTATATCCAGCCCTTGTGTTGAGGATTTGGGAGATGGGATTTAATCTCCAGCAACATTTAATTTCATGTTCCCAGCAGGAGGGTTGCTGTAAGTGGGGACTGAGTTCATCACATTAAATCTGGAAGTAAAATGCTTTTATTTCATTGCCCTCACAGTGGTGGCTCTCCCAGACTCAGCTTTTCTCTTTCAAAAGCTGCTGCTCTTCCACTTCACTGTCAAATCCTCCACCAAACCTCCAAGCAGGGGCTGCAAACCCAACAAAATTTGTCATGGACACGGATTAACCATATCCAGACTAAATACCTGAATCCATGGGGCAGACCAGCAAAGCCAGGCTTAAAACTGGCTCCTCTTAAAGCCACATATTTTAGACTGTGTTTAAGTTTCTGGAGGTGTTCAGACTTTGAAAAGACTCGTCCTAACAACTGGAAAATTAAAAAAAAAAAATCAGTCATTTTTGAGGGGGAAGAAGTTCAAGACAAGCCCTCACTGGTGTCCAGACTAAGCAGAATCACCACGGCTCTCTTGAACTCAGCTCTAGGGCTGCGTTTGCTGAGGGCAAGAGGAGGAGTTCCTGCTTAGGTCTGGGTGAAAACCTTGGGAAAGGCTCTGGAAGTATTTCCTGGGGCTGGAGAAGCAGCCCTGTGCTCATGCAGGGCTTACCCAGCAGTTGTGCTTCTCCTCCTCTTCCTCCCAGGCTCCGGCACGCTGGGATGTGCTGGGATGTGCTGGGATGTATTGGTGTTATGTAGCAGCCTGCAAAAAATCTTCTCCCAGGCTTCTCTTTGCTTTTTAAATGCTCCCCTCAAAAAAAACCAAACAAAAAAATCAAAACAAAACAAAAAAACCCCAACAAATGAACAAACAAAAACAAAAACCAAAACAACAACAACAACAACAAACAAAAACAAACAAACAAACAAAAAACCCACCAAAATTTGCTCTTTTCTGGCAGCTTTTTTATTTTGGCTGGTTTTTTTGTTTGTTTTTTGGGTTTTTTAAAAATTTTTCTGCATTTGGGGCAGAAAATGTTGTGGTCACAAATTGTTCAAGGCTTCCGTTTCCAGCTGAAAATTCCCAGGCTGGGGCTGTTTGGTTTCATTTCTGCATCTGGGTTTGTTTGTGGGGGGATGAAAAAGAGAAAATATTGCAAGGAAGAGTAATTTAAAGACAGAAGTCCTTCCCCCTGAATAGATTTGGTTAATTTTTAACCCCACGTGTGCACGCAGCCAGTTTTGATGGAAATTCTCCCAGCTTTCAGCATTATCAATGTGAGAGTCAGGAGGCAGAGACTCCTCTGTGTTTCTATGAACATCCACAACAACCCAGATCCATGAAGAACTGTGGAGAGTTCTGCATTATTCAAGGGTTGGACCAGGCAACAAAAAGAAATCCGTGGTTATAATAAACTTTACAGCCCAAATGTTGGCACTGGATGGGGTTGTGTAGTCCAGACCCTTGGAGAAGGAATGAATTGTGTTGAGCCACCACCACCCCTGAAATTTGGGTTTTCCCAGCTAGGTGAGGACTGCCAGTCCCAAGGATTTTGTGGTGGATGGGGAAAATGATGGTGAACTGGGCAAAAATCCAGCCAAGGGCAATTCCAGAAGGACTGGATGGTGCTGGAGTGGTTTATGGCTTATCTTTTGGCTGGAAAGGGTTTGAACCCAGCTCTTGGGTTCAACCCTCCATATAAACCCAAGAGCTGGGTTCAGTCCTTCATTCAAGCCCAGGTCCAATCCAACTGTGGGGTTCAACTCTTTGTGGAAACCCAACAGTTGGGTTCAGTCCTTAACTTAAACCCAGTGATGGCTCAACCCTTCATTTATGCCCAACAGTTCAACCCTTCATTTAAACCCAGTGGTTTGGTTCAATCCAATGGCTGGGTTCAGCACTTTGGATAAACCCAGCTGTTGGGTTCAAACCTTCATTTAAGCCCAGTGGTTGGGTTCAGCCTTCATTTAAACCCAAGAGTTGGGGTCCATCCAATGGTTGGGTTCAGCACTTTGGATAAACCCAACCACTGGGGTTCAATCCTTCATTTAAACCCAAGAGTTGGGTTCAATCCTTCATTTAAACCCAAGAGTTTGGTTCAATCCAATGGTTGGGTTCAGCACTTTGGATAAACCCAACCACTGGGTTCAACCCTTTATTTAAACCCAAGAGTTGAGTTCAGTTCTTCATTTAAACCCAAGAGCTGGGTTCAACTCTTCATTTAAGCCCAAAGGTTGGATTCAACCCTTTATTTACACCCAAGAGCTGGGTTCAGTTCTTAATTTAAGCCCAAAGGTTGGGTTCAACTCTTCATTAAAGCCCGAGTTAGGTTCAACTCTTCATTTAAACCCAAGAGTTGGGTTCAACCCTTCATTTAAGCCCAAAGGTTGAGTTCAATGCTTGTTTTGAGCTCAACAATTGGATTTAACCCTGTATTGACTAAAGGGTTGAGCCCAACACAGCCAAGCCCTGCAGCTGGGGGAGGTTTAGTGCTCAAACGCCTTTTCTTGGAGAGGGACCCCAAACTGTGCCATCTGCCCTGCTCCTGGTCATTGATTCTCTGCTTCTCTGGTTTGTTTTTCTCCATTCCAAGGTGGGCCTTAATGTTCTGATCCAGAGAGCAAACAAGTTTACCCCGGCCACTCGGCTGCTGATCCAGAGGTTTGTGCCATTCCCCGCCGTCGGTAAGGAAAAATTCCTTTTCTTTGTATTCCAAGTGGTGGCTGCAAACCTGCAGGTGGCCAGGAGCCACTGGGATGGACACAGCTCCTCCCTTCCTGCTCGTGTCTCCTCAGTGGTGGCCCCTGAGCTGGGGCAGGCAGGGATGGGGCTCTGCAAAGCAGAATTTTGGCAGGAAAATGCTGCAGAGCTGCTGGTGAAGGCAGCTGCCCAGGCTTTGCAGCTGCACTTTGCACTCTGAAGCAGCTTCAGAAGTGATCAGCACTGAGTGGTCTTTGACCATTCCAACCTGAGAGCACTTAATTTGCAAGATCTGGGTTGAGCCGTGTTAAATCTTCAGATAAGCAGCAGCACTGTGGTTATTTTACAACAAAATGCAGAGAAATGGTTCTGCCCTGAATGTGCAGATTTTTGAGAGGCACAGATTAAGAGCAGCCCAAGTGTGTGCAGAACTGAGGCTGCTCCTGGCTTGGTGGAGCATTTATTGGTGTTTTATCAGCCCTGTGTTTGAGGGCAGGGATGCTCTGGACTCAGCCTTTGCTGGGCCCTGTGGTTCCAAGCTCCAGCACATGCTGAGTTATTTTAGCCCTGAAGAAATCACCAGTGGCTTTGGTATAAGCTTTTTGTGTAAGCTTGTTTATTTACAAAGATGGTGCAAAATCACTAAAAAAATGGGGTTTGCTCCCCATTTTGGAACCTGTTCCAGGTTCCTTTTTCAGCCATATAATGCCAAATTTTCCTTTCAGGTTTTTCTGTTGCTGTGCAAGCGCCACATCCTCAGAGCTCTCCTGAGCCCCTTTACCTGTCTGCTGCTCTCGATTTCTCTGGCCTTTCTGCTCCTTTTTTAGCAGAGAACTGCTTGTTGTGTCCCTCCAGCCCTCAATCCCTGAGTTGTCGGGGTTTTTTCCCCTCTTTTCTGCCACAAAAGCAGCTGCCAGCCCTGCCTGCAGAGCAGGGGGTCAGGGATTGTGCTCTGGAGGTGGCACTGAGCATTTTCCTTGTACACCAGGGATCTGTGGGCATTGTTGTTGTTTTCCTGGGACTTTTCTGGGATCTGTTTTAGGGGGATTCATCTTTCCTTAGGTTTTTACAACCAGGAGAGCACAAGGAATGAGTTCCAGCCCCAGGAGGCAGCTCTGAGGGGTGTTTGAGTCAAAGGCAGGCAGGAAATCCTTGCTGCAGGCTTGATCTGCTTTCACACCAAGGTGTTTGTGTTGGCATTGATTGAGGGCCCATAATTAATTTGTTTAGCCTGTAATTAATTCTCCAGCTAATGTTTTATTTGTCTTGCTTCGTTATGAGCCAGGACATCAGGGATCCTCCCACTAATTGCTGGTTTGTGGTTTGCAGACCTGGACAAACCCTTAATTAAGATGTGTCTCCCAATTCCTTTTGAACCTCCAGCCCCCAGCAGAAAGGCAGAAATTCTCTATTTCTGCATGAAAAGCCAAACACTGGGGTAAAGCTCTTGCTCCAAAAACCCCACAGATGTGGTCCTCAGGGATGGGCTGGTGGATTTGGCAGTGATGGTTGGACTTGATGATCTTAGAGATCCTTTTCAGCCTTAATAATGCCATGATTCTGTGAAATTAGAGAGTTTTCCCCATCCCTTCCTTGCCTCCCTCTGCAGTGACCTCCCGAGCTGTGCTGGCTGGGGGCAGCTGGACAATTGGAGGGGTAAATTTGTAGCAGCTGAAAACCCCAAATTGTCCAAAAAATCCCATCCAGGGGTTGGATCCAGGAAACCAACCCAGGGCAGCAGCTCCTGGAGGAGCGGCCAAGGCCCTGCAGGGCCAGGGGCTGCCCCGCTGGAAAAGGGGTTTGGGATCGGGGTTGGGGCATCCTCAGGGGATGAAGGAGTTCCATGGAAAAGCAGGGAAGGGAAGGAGGTCTTGGAGCCTGAGTTTGAGCACGGAGGGGCTGGGTCCTTTCTCAGAGGTGAGGAGGGGAAGGATCTTGGTGCCCAGGGGAATTCAAGGAACCCAATTCACCCTTTTTTCCCCCAGAACTGGGTGTGAGCAGCTGGCCCCAAGGCCAGGGTGTCACTGGTGAGGGCGTGCTTTATACTGGAGATGTTCCTGGCTGAAAAACCTCAGAAAACCCCAAAGATCCCAAGTCTGATCTGAAGGAAATTAAAGCTGACGGAAAGATCCTCACTGGAGAGGAGGGAGAGGGAGGAAGGATTTCTTCTCCTTGGGCTTTTGTGCATGTGTGTGGCTAAAATTGTTGTGTTTAGGTGATGCCCAAGGACACATTCAGAGTGTGGAAAGCACCCTGGGATAGAAGAAACCCCTACAGACACCCAGGAGTGGGGTGGTGCCTTGCTTTGGAGCCCGAGCCCAGTTTCCTCACAGCCGCAGTTTCCATTATCACAATTTCTTCCCAAATCCTGCAGATGACTTTGTCTGCACATATATTTATTTATTTCTCACCCCCCCACCCTCGAGCATTTGAGACGTCCGTGCAATCCAAGTTTAGCCATAATTAGCAGCGTTTCTGCTCCCTCAGGAAGCAGAAGGGGAGCGGCTACGTGAGCGGCTCGCCTCAGACAAACCATGGAAGCAGCTTTCGGGTCTGGGACCGGGTCAGGGAATCCAGAGCCTTGGAAAAGCATCTTGGGAGCGTCAGGGCTGGCCACCCCATCCTGAGTCTGTCAGGAACTCTGTGCCAGGGCATCCCTGGCCAAAGCAGCTCTGCTGGGCTCTTTGATCTGCTCAGTTTTGATTGACAGCGAGAAGGACGGGGCGTGCGAGTGTTAAAAATTAAAAAAAAACCGGGCCAAACTTTTCTCTAAATGAAAGGCCTTGTTTTGTTCTTTATCTGGGATTCAGGAGCTGAAGGGTTGGGAACACAGATATTTTGATAGATGGGAAGAGTGGTCTGGTCGTTGGAATATTAAAGAGAGAGACAGAGTGTGCGTGTGTGTGTGTTCCTCTCCCTCTCGAGTGGAAGGAGCATTTGTCACCACAAATCATCCTTGATTGCACAGAGCTGCCTTCAGAGAGGGCTCACCCACCCACCACCCTCAAAAAATTAGACATTTGTTATATGACATGAATTGAGATTAATTAGTGAATATTAACCCATCAAGCAGTGCAGAAACACATTTTTGGAAGGCACTGGTGCTTGCAGCAACAGTGGGTTTGTCTCAGTTCTGGGTGGAAAGTTTGCAGGGAAATGTGGTGTGGGGGGTGCTGGAAAATGCCACTCGCTCTGCCCAAAAGTTTTGTGGGAATGAGCAGCTTTTCTCTGGGAGAAGTTGGGAAGTGCCTGGGTGAGGGGAGGGGCTGCACGTGGTGCTCAACTCCTGGTCAGACTTGAGAGACAGAATTTGGGGTCATCTTGAGGCCTCAAAAGCCACAGGCTGGACAAGGAGGAGGGGTTAGAAAGGTGCACGGAGCCATTTTTCCCCTAAAATGTGTGAAATCATGGAATGGTTTGGGCTGGAAAGGACCTAAAGACCATCTAGTTCCAACCTCAGGCATGGACACCTTGCACTAGACCTTCCTGTAGGCCTATTTGTCCTTGTTGCCCCAGAGGAAAAATAAAATTGGTTATTATTCTCCTTGAGAATTCCATCTTTTTTTGGGAATCGCAGCAATTCACCTCAGCAGATTGAGGGGAGGAAATCTGGAGGGCTGTCGGGGCAAACAGAGGCTGCCAGTGGGGACAGAGCAGGGCTGATCCTCCTGCCTTCCTCCTCCTCAGCCAGTGCCAACATCTGCAACGTGGTCCTGATGAGGCACACGGAGCTGGAGGAAGGAATCGATGTGCTGGACAATAACGGGAACATCGTCGGCTCGTCCAGGGTTGCTGCCAAACACGTGAGTGCCAGGAGCTGGGGGAGCTGGGCCACAGCTCATTCCAGGCCCAACACATCCCACATTCCCTCTGGAATCCACGGCTTTAGAGATGGGAATGGAGGAGATGCAGAGGACACGGGAATTTGGGGGCTGGCCCTGGTGGTTTGGAAGGGCACAGTGACAGGACAGATCCTGTGCCTGGTGCTTCCCCAGGAATTCCTTGTGGAATTCCCAGCAAAGATCCCTCACACCTTTTCCCAAAGGAGGAGGACTCAGGCTCGGAGCTGAGCAGCTTTTCAACCCTTCCCTGCCAAACCTGCACCAAGAACTGCCACCCAAAGCTGGCTGGGGCAGCCAGATGTTTGTAACCTGGTTAACAGCTGGTTTGCTTCCCCCGTACCCCACTCTGTGCCACCTGCCTGGAACTGCTCCCTTCCCATCCCCGGGTGAGGTTCTGGCTCCTGAGCACCCCCTGAGCTGCTGTTTCCAAGTGGGCTCTCACTGAGATGTGAAGCTGTGCTGAGCACACGCCCAGGCACAGGAGTTAATAATATAATGCTTGGCATTTCCCTCCCTCCTTCTGTCCAAGGCACTCCAGAGACAGCAATTAATGCACAGCTCTGCAGTCCTCGGCAGGAACGGGGAGATCTCGAATAGCTCTCCATATTGTTGGTTAACAGGGGGATTAAAACAATCTGCTGAAGGGCTCAGAGACACTTCTTGGAGCCAGTTTTCCTCACTTCCATTAACTGGCTCCAGGACACGCTTTCCCCTCTCCGTCCTGATGGTTGAAAGAGAAAATGAGGATTAAAAGTGAAGGCGCTGTGAGAGCGATGTAGGTGGAGCTTAAATGTAAAATTTGGGAGCTCTGGGAACTTCTGCTCAGCTGCCATCCAATCCCAGTGCTTCTTCTGGATTGGTTAATCCTGGTTTTTGTCGTGTGAAACGTGGCAGATCCTCAGTGTGACACAGCTGTCCCTGTGTGAGGGCTTGTTGTGACCTAGATGTCCCTGTGACATAAAATCCTGGAATGCTTTGGGTGGAAGGGACCTCAAATCCTGTCCAGTGCCACCCATCCATGGCAGGGACACCTCCCACTGCCCCAGGTGGATCCAGCCTGGCCTGGGACACTGCCAGGGATGCAGGGGCAGCCCCAGCTGCTCTGGCAATTCCAGCCCAGCCCCTGCCCACCCTCCCAGCCAGCAATTCCTTGCCAAGATCCCAGCCCAATCTCCCCTTGGCCAGTGGCAGCCATTCCCTGTGTCCTGTCCCTCTGTCCCTTGTCCCCAGTCCCTCTGCAGCTCTCCTGGAGCTCCTCCAGGCCCTGGGAGATCTCTGGGCCTCAATAAATCCAAACCCTGCTTTGTTTGCTCCTTCTGGTGGGTCTGGCCAGGAAGGAGGAATCCCGGAGGCACAATGCAGCTCCGTGGTTGGGGTTTTCAGGGAAGGGAGAGCCCTGCGTGTCCCAAATCCCTGCACGGAATGAACCAGCAGTGATGGAAAACAATTCCTGGAGCAGCACAGCAAGGAGCTGCATCCCCAGCACGGGCTGAGATCAAAGCTCAGCTCAGGCAGGAAGGGCTGAAAGTGCTGCTCGGCCCATGGTGGGATATTTCCCTCCAACATCTCCCTTACTTTTCCCTAGAACATTTTCCCTACAACATTTTCCCCACAACATTTCCCCTCCAACATTTCCCCTCCAACATTTCTCTACAACATTCCCCCTCCAACATTTCCTTTCCACTTTCTCCAACATTTCCCTACAACATTTCCCCAACATTTTCCCTACATTTCCCCTCCAACATTTCACCTCTAGCATTTCCTCCACAATGTCTCCCCTACAATAATTCCCTACAACATTTCCCTATATTTCCCTCCAACATTTCCCCTCCAACATTTCCCCTCCAACATTTCTCTACAACATTCCCCCTCCAACATTTCCTTTCCACTTTCTCCAACATTTCCCTACAACATTTCCCCAACATTTTCCCTACATTTCCCCTCCAACATTTCACCTCTAACATTTCCTCCACAATGTCTCCCCTCCAATATTTCCCCTCCAACATTTCCCTCCAACATTTCCCTCCAACATTTCCTTCCAACATTTCCCCTCCAACATTTCCCCTCCAACATTTCCCTCCAACATTTCCCTCCAACATTTCCCTCCAACATTTCCTTCCAACATTTCCCCTCCAATATTTCCCCTACAACATTTCCCCCATGTTTCCCATCAGTGATTCCCATCTCATTCCCATCAGTGACATAAGACCAATTAGAGTTCAGGCTCTGGCCAAGTTCTATCTCTACTTGGATGGGATAATTGGTGATAAACCCAGATATTTTCTGCATCAAAAAGTATCCAAGTCACTTTGGCTTGGCAATTTGACCCCCTGTACATGACAGCTGAGCTTGCTTTTAAAGTGAGCTTGGAGAATCCTTCTCCAGGCATGATTTTCCAATTCTCCACTGTTTGAGGTTTGTCAGCTGCTGCAGAGTCTGGGATGACAGTTCAGAGCCATCCTGAGCCCGGCAGGTCCGTCCTGGGGTTGTTGGGATGTCTGGATGTGTTTTTGTTTGTGTTTGCTCCGCAGGCCCTGCTGGAAACAGCCCTGACCAGAGTGGTCCTGCCCATGCCTATACTGGTTCTACCTCCCATCATCATGTCCGTGCTGGAGAAGTGAGTCTGCCCCGGGGGAAGGGAGGGAAGGGCCTCAGAGGGTGCCAGGCGTGGGGATTTTATGGGATCATGGAATGGTTTGGGTTGGAAAGGTCCTCCAAGGTCATGGAGTCCACCCATTTTGTGGAATCATGGAATGGTTTGGGTTGGAAAGGTCCTCCAAGGTCATGGAGTCCAACCATTTTATGGAATCATGGAATGATTGGAAAGGTCCTCCAAGGTCATGGAGTCCAACCATTTTATGGAATCATGGAATGATTGGAAAGGTCCTCCAAGGTCATGGAGTCCAACCATCCCTGGCACTGCCACTGCTGTCCCATGTCCCCAAGGGCCACATCCACAGGGCTTTTGTTGGTTTATGGTTTATTTTGGTTTAGAGATGGGGTTTAAAAAACTTTTATTTTATTTTTAGTCTCATGTGAAGGGTGAGATAATACAGTTGTTGTAAGTTATGTTATTGCAATCAGAAGCTATTTCTTAATTGCAATACACTATAAGTGTTTCTTGGCTTATTAGCTTTAGCTCCACTATATAAAAACTATATGTGAATGTTTCAAAGGTAATTATTTTAAATTACCCCTGGTGGGTTTTACTACAATGTGTCTTTTATAGTTCTATTTCTGTAAAGTATCTCGTCTTTTTTGTAAGGTTATCTTTTGAAACTTAATTTCTCTCTCAACAATTTCTCTCTCATTCCATGGCATTTCTAAGTCAGTATTTCTTATCTCAAGGTTTGCGTACAGATGCACCGATGTCAGGTTTTGAGGACTTTCTATAAATCCATTTCCCACAGGCTTTGAAATCCCCCAGGGATGGGGACTCCAGCCCCTTCCAGTGCTTAACAACCCTTTCCATGAAGGAATTTTCCCCAAATCCATCCTAAACCCTCCCTGGTGCTGTTCCCTCTGCTCCTGTCCCTGTTCCCTGGAGCACAGCCCGACCCCCCCGGCTGTCCCCTCCTGTCCCCTCCTTGTGCAGAGCCACAAGGGCCCCCCTCACATTTCACCCACCAAATAGATTTTTTTGTTTATTAAACTTCCACGTCCCATCATTTAGGACCAATGTCCAGCTTGTTGAAGTTTTATATTGCTGTGATTATTTTAACTCACCCTGACACCCCTCTAGTTTGGATAACCCACTGTGGAAGGTCAGTGTGAGACAAAACTCCCCGAATTCAGTGGAAAACTGCCCCTGATTTTTAGGAAACAGAGATTAAAAGGGCTCGGCTGGTGTTCAGAGACATTGTCATGGAATCATGGAATTGTTTGGGTAGGAAGACACCTCAAACACCATCTATTTCCAAGGAGGAGCAGATTCCAATCCCCCTAATTTTGTGCAAAACATTTGAATTTTATTTCGTTCTCCTTCTGAACAAAATCTCTGCAGCCTCTTCCCTGCTCCTTTGTCACCCACAAAGCCAGGATTTCCCAGCCTGGGAGTGACCAAGCCTTACTCTGGAGTAACTTACTCTGGAGTAATTTACTCAGGAGTTGTGTGTAGAACTGAGGCTTTGCACTGAGGTGGTTTTGTGTGTTCCCACTGGTTTAACTGGTTCCCATTTAACCATAAAAAAAAAAATCAACACCCAGGACAAATTATTATTGCTTGAAATTATTTTATTGCTGAGTACCCATAGATAAAATCCTTTATGTGCAAAAAATTTGGAGAAATTTATAGAAAATGTCTCTCTAAATTAATAAATTATTGTTTGCAGCAGGACACACTGAGGGCCCACCCTGGGCCATCCCCAGGCTGAAATAAACCTGGCAGTAAAATTGGATTGGCACCTAGGGAGAAAATAAAACTGACGGTGAAATTTGCTCCATCCTTTGCAGCAAAATAAAACCAGTAAATCATTTCTTTGTCCTCAGGGCCATCATAAATCCTTGGATTGATACGAGTTTTGCTGCATGCACCTGCGCTCAGTGCAGGCCTTTCTGAAACTGATTTTATCTGTGAACTTACAGGAGATTGCCCTCAAAAAAGATCATCGCTTTAACTTATTGAAAGCTTTAATTCACGTTTGTGAGAGCAAATTTCCCTTCTCGCTGCCACAAAACTCCGTGGGTATAAAAATATCCGGGCTCTGCTTTTGCCTGCCTGAATTCTGCCCGGAGCTTTGTGCCTGCTGCATTTTCCATCAGATATCCTCGGATTCCTGGAAGGCTGGGAGTGAGAAGCAGCAGGGATGGGGAGTGAGCTGTGGCTTGGCCACGCTGCTGGGGCTGGTGGCAGCTCTGGAGCAGCCCTGGGACACGGGGAGTGTCCCTGTCTGTGCCTCAGGGGTCTGAAGTCAACTCTCAGATCTTAAAACTGGTTCCTAAAGGGCTCACTCAGAGCTGAAAGGGGAAAAAAAAAACCCCTTGGAGTTTGGGGAAAGTGTAACTTGATAAATTTAGTAGGATTTGAGTTTGAGGAGGGTGGTTTTAATGGGGGTGAGATCCAGGCAGGCATTATCCATTTATTTATAGAAATCCCTGCAGGGGCTGTAAATGGGAAGGATGAAGGTGTCACTCTGCAGAGCTGGGATCAGGAGCCACAATCTGGGCCCTCCAATGGCTTTGCATTTGGGATATGGGAAGGAGGGAACGATTCCTCCCAGTCATTTGAATTTGGGATGTGGGGAAGGAAAGGAACAATTCCTCCAATGGATTTGCATTTGGGATTGTGGGGAAGGAAGGGAGAGACTCCTCCGAGTAGTTTGAATTTGGGATTGTGGGGAAGCAAGGGATGATTCCTTCAAAGGATTTGCATTTGGGATTGTGGGAAGTAGGGGATGATTCTTCCAACGGATTTACATTTAGGATTGTGAGAAGTAGGGGATGATTCTTCCCATGGATTTGCATTTGGGATTGTGGGGAAGCAAGGGATGATTCTTCCAATGGATTTACATTTAGGATTGTGGGGAAGGAAGGGAGAGATTCCTCATTTGTATTTGGGATTGTGGGGAAGGAAGGGATGACTCCTGCGAGTAGTTTGAATTTGGGACATGGGAAGGAGGGGGTAATTCCTGTGCCCGGTGTGATCCCGGGTGCAGGTGGGTGACGGTGCTCAGCTGGGTGGCACTCCCACCCCTCCAGGGCCCAGCCCCTGCTCCCAGCAGGGTTTCAGCTCCCAGGAATTCTACCCACCTCGCTGCTCCCGAAGTTTATTTTAAGTGGCCAGTTCCCGGCCGCCGTCTCTCCGCTCGGATCCAGGTCTTTCCTCTCTCCCAGCCATCTCTCCATCTGCATGTTTTAACTCCCCCAGCTGCCTCTCTCGTCTCTTGTGCCATTTTTTTCAGCTCTCTTGGCTCCTCTCGTCTCTTTGCCTGCTGTGTATTTTAACTCCCGGGGCCGCCTCTCTGCTCTCCAAGTAATTCCATGTTCCCTCCCACTGCCGCGCTCCCGTTCTTGCCCATGTTTCATGCATTTCCTGCTGCTTGGACGCTCTGCTGGAGCAGTGAACATATAGAATCAATGTTTATTTTCAGCCTGCATATGCCACGCAGGGAACACGGTGTCAGTTATTCCGTGCAGATGTATTCTCATTGAGTTTTATAAATAATATCCGCGCTGGCAACTTTTGGTGCGGGAAAATATTGGTTGGGCGGCGTCTGAGGGATGAGGGTGACTGGCAGTGGGGATTCTGTGGTGTCTCTGTGTCACACAGGTGTGGGGACAGCAGCATCCACTGCAGGAAGTTGTGCCCTTCATCCCCATCTCCCTTTATGCCCTGTGTTCAGCCCCTTCCGTGAGTCCTTTGTTTGGTTGTTCCGATGAAATTTGGGAGATGGAGCTGTTTGCTCCCAGCCACCACGCAAGCCTTCTCCAGCAGCCTTGGTGCTGCAGAAGCTGCAGCTGGTTGGTGAGGGGCAGGCCAGCTCCAAGTGCAGCCTCAGTCTGAGCTCTGTGCTGGAAGAGCCCAAATTTTTGTCTCCTGTGGTGTGGCCGGGAGTTGGAGAAGCTCAGTCCATCACCAGCATCTGCTGGGGACACTTTGGGCATCTCTGAGTGGAGGGTGAGGAACCTGGGCTCTTCTTGCATCCTTTTCTTACCTCACACCTCCTCTGTGTCCCTCAGAGAAGACTTTTCAGAGGGTCAGAAGCACAGAGCAGGGCTGAGAAGGTTCCAAGAGCTCGGGAATGCCAGGATGCACTGGAGAAGGCCTTGGAGCTGGCTGGGCAGTGTCTGTGGAGGAGACAAAGCTGGAGCTGCTGGCAAAGGGCAGGAGCTGAGGGAGAAACGGGAGCAGAACAGTTGTGTCCATGGAAGAGGAGCATTTCTGCTCTTCTCCATCTCCAGATCCTTCTTGTACAGCAAGAAGGGGGCTGTTCCTGGGGCTGTTTTCCTGTAAATCCCATAAAATCAGGATGCTCCCAGGCAGGATCAGCACAGCAGAGCTGCTCTGGCTGAGCTGAACCAGTGCCACAAGGAAAAATGGATTTTCCTGGGGGCTGGCCAGTGCTTTGTGGTGCTGGAAGGGCATTTTCCTCTGCCTGAGCCTTGTTTGTCACTGCAGAACCGGGGTGAGGCAGGAGGCCCCCCTGGCCCTCGTGTCCATGGGCTTCTCCTGGAGACATTCCCCTGCCAGAGAGTGCAGGATGTTCCCACAGGAGCTTTTCCTGCAGGGCCCCGTCCAGCCCAGCCCTCAGTGAAGTTTGTTTGGGCTCAGCAGCTGCCAGCAGCGACACCTTCAACTGCTGGGGCTGTTCCCAGAGTAAACACGGAAACTGCTCCTTTAATGGTGTCAATCAAGCACAAAAACCCCCAGCCTCCCTCGTTTTGCATCTGCTGTGTCCTCTGGAGGGGCTCAGGGCTGGGGCTGCGGGGTGAGGACAGTGCTGGCCTGGCAGGGTGGGACAGCAGAGCTGCTGGTGGCTGGTAGAGCTCGGATTTCCCAAAATGACCCAAAATGACCGAGAAAAGCTGGGGAGCAGAGCAGAGCCCTGACAGGCTCAGCAGGACGGGGATCTGGGGATCCCAAACTTCCTTGGCGTGTTGTGAGGAGTGTGGGATCGC